AGTGTTTATTTTGAGAGATAAAATTAACATTAAAACAATTTATAACCATGACGTTAAACAGAAAATGGAAGTTTTACATTATTTCTACGCTCTATTTTCCAGTTGCTCCAGTATGTCGACCAGCTCAGCGTTACGTGTATGGTACGGCAGTACACGAAACGGTGAAGGTTTTGTGTGAGGTTGAAGCAGATCCCGAGGAGGTTACGTTTCGTTGGATGTTCAATAACTCTCTTGGAAACCGAGAGGTGTTAACATTCGAGGATGACATGACTCGAAGCGTGGCGAGCTTTATCCCACAGAACCAGGAAGATTATGGTACACTTGTCTGTTGGGGAAGTAACAAAGTAGGCATGCAGAAGGAACCTTGCTTTTATAATGTCACAGCTGCAGGTAATGAAAAATTCACGAAGTAAGACATATCAATGATGTTTTTAAAAAGTTCTTTACAGAGCTATAAATATCACAGTTCTTGGTTAAAACTTCATTTAGAACAAGAACATCTTAAATTCTTTATAATATTTAAAATATCATACTTACTCTTAGCTAAAAGTGAGTGGTTAATCTATACAAGATAGATATGGTAGTGGTAAGTAAGATTCGTACTTTAGGAAAGAGTTACCATTTATAAGTTGTTTAAACCAACAACCTACTTGATGAAGTGATGATTAGACGACTTTTTGATCTATTTCCATGTGTGTCTTAATTAGGCATTATATAGGTGAACTACATACTGGGCTTGTTGATCAACAAGGATTATCATTATTGTAAGTAAAAAGATATTTTTAGTGCATTCATTATTATCACGGCAGTTGTGTTAAGACTGTGTGTGCTGCAAGAGGCAAGTACCGTATAAATACAGTTATATAACATGACTGTTATGCTGTAGATACCTGAGCTGTTGAAGTCCATGACATGTCTAAAAATAAAATGAAACATTAGACTAGATTGCAAACGTTTCCCTCGACCAAAACCCTCTTAATTAGGTTATAAATTCAAGTCAAAGATTTATCTTTTCTGTGTCACAGATCATTGTCCAAATGATAAGCTCTAATACTCAACAAAATTATACTTGATAATGATTTGTGGCAAACAAACTTGGTTTTACTTCATAAAAGCGTGACTCTGTGGTACTGTAAATAAATAATTGAATATTATCACGAAATTAATGATTTTTATGTTGTTTAACTTAATGAATATAATAAAAAAGAAAACATAACTGACAAACTATATTTGGCTTAAAATGTGAGTAAGCTGTCTTTATTCTATAGAATGTGTATGATTTAGTTTTAATGTTCCTAATATTTCAAGATAATACTTTCTGGACCATCTACAGGACCTCCGACAATGCCAGTGAACTGCTCAGTAAGAAACTTAACAATTGACAGTGTTGAGGTTGGTTGTCTGAAAGGTTATAATGGAGGGTTGAGTCAACACTTTGTGTTGGAATTACATGGAAACGACCTACAGAAAGTTCACAAAAAGCTAACATCTAAGAAACCAGAATTTTCACTTGAAAGACTTTCGAAACATACGAAATACCAGATTTCAATTTATGCAGTAAACGCTAAAGGAAGAAGTGAAACATGGACAACAGATTTTAACACCCTTGCCTCTTTCGATGAAACTGAAGGTAGGTAGCGTGTATTATCGATTAGCTAAAGAACAAACTACAGAAAGTTGAGAACGTTATATTAAAACTATTTTAATGACGACGCAAAATATTCATAGGCTCAGATGTGTTCAGATTGGAGACTTAGTATTTCCAAAAGGTGGAGATAGTATCCCTTGTATTTAATAACAGTGGAAAACAAAGAAATAAGAAATAAGATTAGCACTTTGCATCCAGAAACAGACCTAAAAGAAGTTGCAATTCATCCGTAGTAATTAAAGTGCAGCATTTTATGACAGGTAAAAATCCACCAACACAGAGTTAGTAGTAAGATCTGTCCACGTGTTCCAGACGGCAATGTACAACATAATCAAGAGAGCTATTCCTCTGATAAATAAGATTAGCCCTTTGCATCCAGAAACAGACCTAAAAGAAGTTGCAGTTCATCCGTAGTAATTAAAGCGCAGCATTTTATGACAGGTAAAAATCCACCAACACAGAGTTAGTAGTAAGATCTGTCCACGTATTCCAGACGGCAGTGTACAACATAATCAAGAGAGCTATTCCTCTGATAAATCGAAATAAGTCACAGGGTACACCATTTACTTCTACAAAACATACATTCAACCATAGCATTATTCAAGCAGCTGGAGAATGAAATGGGTATTCATGCTGTTTCGTACGAAGACATACCGGTCAAGTCGTCAGAGGCAGCGTCTATGGATTTCTGTGCAATCGGACTATTAAAAAAGGCATTCTTAAACTGTCGTCCTCGCATATTAGATGAACTGTGAAAAGCAGGGAAGGACTAGAAGTGTGCTTTGCACATGTCACGGAGCTTTGCGCGATTAAGTCTACGTGCACAGCTGTTGTTAAGGTGTACGTACGTACGGTCGTCAACGACAGCATATTTGGACAGGATTGTAACGACGTTGTGAGGCTCCAAAATCGTTTTAATATAACGTAGTCAACATCTCTATACTATACTGCTGAAGTACATCTTTCCTAACACTATTTCTTTTAAAAACAAATTAGGTAAACTATTGCATACTTCTAAAATAGATTAATTTTAAAACGTTACAATATTGTAACCTGTTAAATCTATCCAATAAACGCGCATAGTATTACGTACTTAATTCTGTGCACTAAAAACATTATCTGATAAAGATGTAAAATTTTATGTTTAACTCTTACATGTATTTATTTTTCAATTATTTTTAATATCTAATTTAAAGCCATGTATACAAATTTCGTCTTTGCTTGGGTTTAGATATAATTTATATTTCAAAATAATAAGATCAGTGACTAAGAAGGTGCAACATGAACCACTCACCCAGCATTGGACAAAGTATATAGAATTATGTTTAAATGATCAGTGGGGATAAACAAATTACGGCTATTGCTTAATCGATTATGAAATACACGAGTAATAATATATTTCTTGAGACTGCCAATAATCAATGTTGTTTAAAAACAGAAAAAAAAAATTCTGACGGCCGTAAAGATAGCAGCAAAAAAAGATTGATTGATTGAAGATACGTTAAATTGATCGTGTATTGGCATAGGGGGATCAGAACTGAGCACTTACCCCCCTATGTCACTTCTCGGGGTCCCTATGGGTATATGCGAGTTGGATAAAAACTGTTCCATCGGTTCGCCAGTTATAAGCAGACGTACACACATAGAGAGATTTTCGTCAAATAATGCTTTAGATTACGGCAGTACTTTTTATGAATTGTTATGTTAACTTATTGCTGCTCACTAAATCTTCAGCACATACAATGAATGAAACAGTTCACTGAATTTTATTCTGATTTATAACTTTTATTCTAACTTCCTATAATTAATATAGTTAAAAAGTTTGGTGGCCCGACATGGCTTGATAGTTCGGGCGCACGACTCGCAATCTACGGCTGGCGAATTCGAATCCCCGTCACCGAACATGCTCGCCCTTTCAGCCGTGTGGTCATTATAATGTGACAGTTAATTCCAGTAATCGTTATTAAAGAGTAGCCCAAGAGTTGGCGGTTGCTGGTGTTGACCAGCTGTCTTGCATTTAGTCTATCACTGTTATATTAGGGATGGCTAGTACAGATTTGCGTGAAATTCAACACAAGCAAACAAACAATAAAACGTTTGGTTTTAATGTAGATAAGAATTCCCTGTTTGTATCTGCAACCCAAAAAACGGGGACGGGATCATTTATTGTGTGAATTAACTAATGGCATAATTTCATAGTAATGTTGTTTGAATTCTTAAAATTTTTAATTTTCATGATTAATCCCTAAACATTCTCAAAGTTAGCAAACTACGTCTTACGAGCAATATTAAATCAGTGCTGTTGTAAATAAGAAAATAATGAGAAGTTTATAAAACAGTCTGAAATATTTGTTATTTCTTTCTGCATCAGATTCATTCTCGTTTCCCAACCATGTCTATTCCTACAACTGACAACGTGATATTCAGGGCAACCTAAATATCTTTATATAGTAATGTTGATCATTCCCATAAAACGCTTTTTACTTGATGTAATATTTAATTTGTAAGAGAAATGTGGTTTTCACAAGCAGCTTGTAGAAACACCTTGGAACTCTTAAGTAATGCCTGTTATCTATCATGTTTAACACTGTCGCTATGGCTTAGGACCGTACACTGTTACCGGTAATTTGGTAGATTGATTGCGCGCATAATGACGACTTATATTCTACAACAGTGTGGTCTTTTAAACAATTTAACGGCACATTAGTCATGATGCTGCTGAACTCTTCACGTATTTACGCCACAGAAGAAGAAGAAAAAACCAAGCTGCTCCAAGAAAACAGTTTCTTACGGAAATTGAAGAGCTTGCATTAAACTAAGCGTTGAAACAAACAACGCAATACGTTATATTTTATTTTTCTAGAGACAGGTCATGCATATTAGTTTGAATTATGTAGAAAATTACACGGACAAAAAACGAAATCTTGATTAGCGAACGTAGTGGCAGTGCGATTTCCGTGATGAAGTTCAGATTAATTATTTTTTTTTCTGGAAATTCCCTTTGGGCGAATAAACTTACTTGATGACTAGCAATTTAAAACCACGAAAAAACAATTATAATTGTTGGCTCACTTAAATACTTCTCTTTACATTTATTTGTACGGTTTTTCTGATTCAAATTCTGATACAGCTATTCTTTCTCTGTCTATACACATGACATCAAACTACAATATACTTATAGAAAAGTTTCCTATACTTCTACTGTAAAGTGACATCTTCCATCCTTAGTAAGTGTTCCACCATAGTAAGTAGATTTTCTAACTCCACGACTTCTTCTTTTTTATCTTTTTTCTACAGAAGGGCCCCCCCCCCAGTAGCACAGCGGTATGTCTGCGGACTGACAACGCTAGAAACCGGGTTTCGTTACCCTCGGTGGGCAAAGCACAGATAGCCCATTGTGTAGCTTTGTGCTTAACTTCAAACAAATCTACAGAGAGCACGCATATTATCAACAGTAATGTTGGATTTTACGTATAATATATATAAGCTTCATATGTAATATTGACCTTTTCAACAAGTGAAAAATGGCAATGAACGTGACATACTCATAGAATGTAAAGGATATATCAGTTCCTGTTAATCTAACAACAAGCTCTATTAATTAACCTAAGAATCTTACGAGTTTACAGTAACCTAAAGACCTGCAAGTTTAATCAACCTACAGGGCATTTTGTGATTCTAGTACTGTAACGATGTGCTTAAAAGGCATATTATAGTGTATAGTAATATAATAGTCCAATGTTATGATAGGTTAATTACTAGTTATGAAATCATATTACTGACAGAGCTATTTCCAAACAACTAAACTCGTAATGTAACTTTGAAAACAGAATTAACCAAATACATTTTTGTACTGTTTGTAACCAATGTTATGAAATCTTTCGGTTATCTTGTAGTAAACATTCTCAGATTTAGTGTCACGAGGATCCACCTTGAACATATTCAAATAATGAAGCAAAATAATGCAAGTAGCAGAAAAAGCCTTAATCGATTATCTCTATCAAAGAATTGCAGTTTAAACACCAAAATTCGTTGGTAAAAGAGTAGCCCAAGAGTTGGCGGTGGGTGGTGATGACTAGCTGCCTTCCCTCTAGTCTTACACTGCTAAATTAGGGACCGCTAGCGCAGATAGCCCTCGTGTATCTTTGCGCGAAATTCCAAAAACAAACAAACAAACAAACACCAAAAACTAGCGATTCATTATAAACTAACAGGCTTATAATATGTAATAAAAATCAAGTGAATTGCAAATGTTTTTTTTTGTTTTTTTATACATTCCTCTTAAACGGATTAAACACAAGGCCTGGTAGGCAGTCACTTGTGGAAAATAAAAAATAGATCTGAAATGATACTTTTAAACGCCTCTGATTTTGAAACCAAAATGTTCAAATTAAGAGGATGTAGAAAGAAAAAATCTGTAGTTTTCTTGATTTTATCACAAATTTTATGTCTGTTGAAAAGCTGTTCCATACCTATGTAAAGAAAAACAGGAAAGCCAGCTAAATGTTAAAGTATTTTAATAATGAATTAGTTATATGTAATTGTATGAAGTTATGAAGCTCTATAAATATCAACATTTACCACACTAGAATATTCAAATAAGCAGATCTCATATATACGATTTGGTTATACTGCACTAGCATGTGTAAAATTCACATTAATGACATGATGCCATAGGAAGTAATACAATTGTACATTTTGATGGAGTATAGTTACTTATTCTTATAAGCAGTATATTAGATATAAATTTATCAGATTCCAGACGAAAATATGTGGTTGTTTAAGCAATGTACAAGATAAGTTTTTTTAGAAGATCAAAACTTTTTCTTTCTGTAGAACAGAAAATCAGAAGGAAGTTTCTTAATTAAAGGTGTCTAGATAGGATTGATTGACCCACGTCTTTGTACATCTAAATGCTCCGCCCAGTCCCTTGTGCTGTAATTTGGAATATGTTTCGTTTTTTAGTGGATTTTTTATATTTGTCTCTTTTCTAAAGAACTGAAAACATATTTTCACTTTCGGATCAGTTTCATTATATTTTTTATTTGAAAAAAAGATGTAATTTGGTAAGGTGTTTGTCATGACAAAAATTCCTATCGTTACGAATCACTTGCAGCTTAAAACTATGGAGTGTTTAACTAAGCTCAAAATCAATAAAAAAAACTTCTTCACACTTAGGCTCGAATAGATTTATTATTGTATTAATTTCCTTGTTTTGTTTATGTGACATAAGCTACGCAAATATTTACAAAACATGTTTTAATGAAATTCAAATTTCAAAAATAGACCAATAACTAGATAAAGGTGAAGTCTCAATATTTTTCTCTTTTAATACTGTTTCTAACAGCTTCTCGTGAACTTACCACAGTATCAACATATTTTTGTTTTCTTTTAAAAGTTGGAAGTTTGTAGTATTGAATTACTGGTCAAATAAAAAAGGGGTTAATGAAGAAAATTATTATTTAAGTTATGCGTAAGTTATGTCCACTTTTCAGCTGTGTGAAAATCTTGAATTCTTTTAATTATTTACAGATAAATAAACTCGCTAATTGAAACAACTTCTGTTTACAACGCGTTTCTTGGCTTGCTTAAGGAGCTTCTCCTATTAACGATTCCTCTTCACAAGTTACATGATTATGTAAATATTTTGCAGTTTAAATGAGGCAGTTAGCGGGGAAAAACGCATTTATGTCTTCGTTTTCTTTTTTTGTTATGGCTGTAACTCATTACCCATTTATGTCTTCGTTTTTGTTATGGCTGTAACTCATTACGCATTTATGTCTTCGTTTTTTGTTATGGCTGTAACTGATTACTTGATGAAATAAATATAATCCGGTGTATTAACTCCATACGCTCTCCACGTATTCAGATTTTATTAAAAGATATTGATTTATATGCAAATGAACTTTTTCTTGCACACATTTGTTTTGTTTTTTATAGAATTACTGATTTTTGTAGTCTGTATACCTTGCGCTGAGCCCATTGAGCAATTCCAGTAAGAAAATGTTGAATTACTCAAAAATATGCATATTAGTATATTTTAAACTGCGTCATGCTATAACCATATTGATAAGATGTACATATTGGAATATAAAGACGTATTAACTTACATTACATAGAAACTCATTGCAGGACCACACCAGAACTGCAATTTTGAATAATCTTGGAGTGATCAACTCAGTTGAGTTGATTATATTTCCACCCATTGAAGCTTTATGTGGGTGTCAGATGTACTGTTGTTCTTTTATTATAAACAAAGCAAAACTTAAATGAAAAAAACAAAACATTTATAGCTCTTTCGTACATCGTGTTTCTTTCTTCTTAAGACTAATAAAGCTTATAGAAGAATATAGCCATAATTCCGTGTTTCTATAACATTGAACATAATATATTTCCATAATCGTTAACTTTTTTCATCTGTCGATGAATATCTTAGTGAAATACTTGTTTTATCTTACTGCTCAAAAATTGACATGCTCACCGTATTACTCTTTGTAACAAAAAATACAATGAAAACTTGAGTTATTAGTGACGCAATATAACAGATACAAAATGTGATAATAAAAACATCTTGTATTAAACAATAATTGGGTGTTAAAACTGTAAAGAAGATCAATATAAAGTTTTGATTCTATTAGTTTCTCACAGTGAGGTTATTTCTTTTATCTATCGCGCTTTTTTAACCTTTTCTCACTCACTAACTTCACACACAAAAAAGATAGACAGTGGAAATTAGTGGGGTCTTTGGGATGAAGGAAGTTTAGTGGCTCTTAATGAAACTTAAGTGTGCTTCGGATGTAAAAAGTAATAAATAATTCTTTATGTACTTAAAACATCTGGAAACTGATAGACCTTATTTGGTAACATGTGATATTATGTGAACTACATTTATCAGAAAAGTGAATAAGTTTCTGATTCAACTATGAAGTAAATGTAATTTTTAGAGCTAAAATTGATAGATACATTCTAATTGGAATTGTCTTTATTTAGTAGCATCAAAAACGACGAATACATTACTTGTACACAATACACAAACTTTGAAGTTTTAAAGAAGCAGAAAATTTTAGCATTCAATTATTTTTTAGCTGAGTTTTTTTTTCAAGTACAAACTTTTAGCTCATAGCTCCATCAACTCTTGACCGATTTGAGATATAATTATAGTTTTAGTCTCAGGAGATCAAACCCTTTTGATTGATGTATTTGATCACGCCCAAGATCTCATAGATTAATTTACTCTAATCCTGCCTAAAAGATTTTCAAGTGCCGCGGCTATTGTGGATTCCCTCTTGTTTTTTTGCAATCATTAGCATGTTTGGCTGTGTTTAGCTTGCGAAGCACAGCGAAAAAGTTATGTTTTCAAAAATTCATGTCCTATTTCATTTCTTTCTGTCTCTTTATACAAAAATAGCTTTAAATATCAAGTTAATGAAACATTGGTCGTGAGCTTTAACTAGACTTTGTATCATATCGCATTTCATTTAGCTATGATACGTGTAGCATAACAAAAAAATACAAAATTAGAGTATATATAGTGCTATATCATGGTCACGTAACGAACGCTACTAAAACAATGAAAACATTAACAATGCATAGATGGTTCGGAAAGAAATATGAATCTAAAGTCATTTTAAACGTATTCATAATAATTAGTGTTAGATTATGTTGAATATCAGAAACAAATTCGTTAAAAAAGCTATTATTTTTTTATTATAAATTTTTATAAAAACAGTTGTATCTGAAAGGAAGCGTGTATCGATTTTTATATGTATTTAGTATTTGTTTTGGTTGTACATAAACAAAAACTTGTTTGTTTATTCTTTTACTTGATAAAGGGTTTATGTTTGTCTAATTAGTACCTTCCACGTGTTGTAATTTAAAGTGTTAACACTTTTTTCCCAAGCGTCTTTTGGTTTAGAACCTAGCTGGTATCATTATAATAAATTTCTCTTTTTTTTCCGATATTTACACACTTAGGAATTTTTTAAAGAGAACCTAGAAAACCAAGTGTTATTAAAAATAACATAAAATAATGTACCGAAAGTTTCTTTTATTTTCTAAATGCCTTTAATTTTTTTCTGTGAAATCCAATAAAATAATAAACATGAACCTTGAAATTGGAAATTAATATTCACTATGTACATGAAATTTCTATAAATAATGGTTTTTAAGTTTAATTTAGATTTACTATTTCGTCTGATAGTTTGGAGTTAAATTTGTGAATATTTTTAATACAAAATAATACATATTAGAAAATGTCCTATTAGGGAAGAATGGTGGAGCTGCTACCACAAGAAATATGTGCGTTGTTGCTCTAGGCCAATGCTACATAATGAGTTACCTGCACTTTGTCTACCGCGGGTTATCGAGCCCCTGGGTTTAGCGTTGTAAGTTCGTAAACTTATCACTGATCCACCGCGGAATCAGCAAAAAATTGCATCTATTGAAAAGCCAAAAAAGTCGTGAAAGTTCGTATAGAGTTTCTATTGAGTTGGCATTGCATGTTTCGTAAATCGTTTGGAAGAAAGTTGAATGAAATGCATAACTTAAACTTCTTGAAATAGGAAAAAAACAAAAAACACCCAAAACGAAATCTTGCACTTCCCATTGCTCAGCACAATTAGGATATAAACAATAAGATATATACATGAAATAGCAATATTATTACACTGGGAATCTATATATTCATATATATAGATTCCCAGTGTAATAATATTGCTATTTCACATTTTCATTTCTCAAGAAAACCGTTTACAACACTAGATGAAAGACTTAGTCGTAATATTGTCTGAGTGTTTTGGACAGATGCATGATAGCATTTGATAAAAAGGCTAGAGAGTAATGATTTTTACTATTACGACACGACAACGTTCAGAGCGTCTTATTGAACGTTGGTTTTACAAGCACATACGTTTCTATAAAGGAGAACTTTCAGCATTTTTTAAAACAGAGAAAAATCAGTTTGATGTGTCTTCATCTTTTTTATTTGTTTAGTAAAACTGAAATATTGATGCATACAAACTGATGCGAATAAGTTGTTTATTGTTTTATATAAAACGTATTACATGCCATTTTCAAAGCACATAAAACGCTTATAGATAATGCTAAATCAAAAACATAATTTCAAACGTTCTATTCATTTACCTCTTCTCTTTCGTTACTGCCGCCCAGTGGCACAGCGGTATGTCTGCGGACTTACAACGCTAGAATCCGGGTTTCGATACCGAGGGTGGGCAGAGCACAGATAGCCCATTGTGTAGCTTTGTGCTTAATTACAAACAAACAATCTTTCGTTATTATTATTTTTTTCTAAACACGTGAGATTCCTATTCTCCTCGATAAGAATATTAGAACTGATAAATGTTCTAGTGATCATGTTTTAAAATCTTTCCAGGTTCTAATGACGTGTGGTTTGTTGAGTTCAGTCCAGTTCTGGTGACCACAGTCGCTGGAGTAGCAGGATTAGTATTTGTGGTCTTAGTAATTATCGTTGTTGTTAAAATCCGTTCGAGAAGAAATAGAAAAAGAGTTGCAGGTTAGTTAGTTTTATTAGGTCTTCCGCTGCTCTTAACGCCAGACAATGATTTATTCTTCTTAAAAGCATTAAGCTAATGTAGACTCTAATGAACTGAATAATATAAACAGTATAATTCATAGAATATAAAAGATGCAGATAAATGTAGGTTTAAAATATTTTTATCACTTAAGTTCTGGCATTAACTTTTGAGATATTGAAGTACTTATTAAAACTATTTTCGTGCAACACACACACACACACACACATATATATATGTATTGTTATAAATTTGCTAAGTTTAAAATGAGTAACATTTAGAAGCCTTTATTTGTTTGGATGGATCCTTCAACATACATATCTTATCATGCCTTTATAACTTTATGTTGTTTCAAAGAAAACTAACAGTATTCAAAAATCATGACCTAGAGTAAAGAAACAGTAACAGAAATATGTAAGAAGCATATTGGCATTAAGTCTGCACCTTCTTTTAATTATTTAACAAATTCAGAAACAAGGTATGAGAGTTCATAAACTGAATTGTATGTAAACTCAAATATTAATATGTTTTTATACATTCTTTTATCAATATAACCATGTTTTCTCAAGATGGTAAATACTTTTACTTAGTTGTTCTATTTCACGTTTTACAGTTTATCTTCATTCTATTGTAAACAACAGCTTTATATATTATATATGTCAAATGTTATGGATAAGAACCCCCCCCCCCAAAAAAAATAGCGAACTTGTAAACTTGTAGATCTCTGATAGAGTTAATATAGTTAACGTCTGGTGTTAGAAGAAAAACATGTTCCGTTGAAAAGTAAGAATATAGGTAGGAACAGAAGTATCGTGAAACTTCCATATTAACGGAAAACAGTTTTAAATTTAAACCAAATTAATATGCGCAGAAGATACTTTAACTTATTACGGCTTTTTGAAATAAAGAAATATAATTTTTTTCCCAGCTCCTCTTCCCATCATTTAACACAATTCCTAGAGATATTCTTCTCTAATCAATCACCAAAGAAGAGTTAACTCTCATTCTTTCTTTATTGCAACTGCAGAAACTAATGTTGCGGAAAACACAAATTATGGTTAGAAAATCCTCTTTAATTTTTTTGTTCGTTTGTTAAACCTTGTTATTCAATTAACTAGAGTGATCCCTAATACATTGCAAAAAAATTATGTTTAAGGTCACCATACAGGCTAGGCTATCGAACAACTTTATGGATAAATAAGACAAGCCTAATTCATTAAATTTAAGAATACAATCACGTGGAAAATACCACAAAATATAACAAACAATAAACTGACTTCATATTGAAATTTCTAAAAATCTGAGCAAAAATAAATACATTAATTCATTTCATTTCAAAGAAGTTTTGGGATGATAAACAATTAAATTAATTCTGTGTTCTTTTCTTTACTCCCAACACAACACTACACAGTTTTTCTGTTCAAAACCTACTAAGTAAGGCATACATCTTAAATCTCGTATTTAAACTCAAATGACTAAAAAACATTACCAACATTGAACTGAAATAACCTTCAAATGTATTAATTGCATGTGAAATATATTTCATGATTAGAATTTCCAACTGGTTGATAACTGTGTAGCATACGTAACGTTGGCAATATTAGGTATATTTCTTGTTGTTATTTAGATGTTAGTTGAAGGTTAAAGCATCTTTCTAGAATGTTGTTTCCACATTTCACACACTACTTAGCACAGACTAATGTGTTCTCGACGTGTTACACGACAGAGATCTCCACTCAAAAGAAAAAAAAAGAGAGTTGAGCCTCGTCAGTAACTTCATTAAAGTGTATCTCAGAAACATAAGGACCGACAGAAAACATATATATTACACAAACACACATAAATACGTATGTAGATTTTTCTCCTACTTTAAAGTATTGGAAATGTGCAGTACGTATAAGTTGAGAAAAAAAACAAAAAAAACTTATGGATTTTTTTTTCTACAGGAAAAACTTTCTTCGGAGTCGAAAACCGGTACGTTTTAACACTTTTAATTTTATTTGTACTTATAAGATGTTTGCGAATTTAAAAAATTAAAGCCTAAAGATAAAAAAAAATAAGTACTCGTGTTTTAATTTCGGCGTTTGTAGAAAGAAATATATTAATCACATTTCCTTTTAGTCATTTGGTCCATAAAATTTTGTCTTGATGTTTCTTTTTCTAATATATGTTTAAAAGTTTCCACACATATTTGAATAGTTGTATGTTAAAAGTAATATAGTGTGTATATATTAAAAATATCTCCCTTTTACGTCTATTTAGTAGTTTACTGCGATAAAATTGTAAGTATTCTGTTATTTTGATTATTATTTATCCAACTACTTTATTTTTAGATATAAAAGTTTATACTTCTGACTGTCCGTGGTGAAAGGTAACTAATATACTTGACCTCGGACGTTAGATGTTTGATCATATTAGCCTGCATATTGGATTCTTAAGACAGGCTACCCCGGATTCCAGACTAGCTCGAAAACCAGTTGTCTGATTATCATATAGTTGGTACACTCTATATGTAGGGATAACCAAAATACTCAATAGGCCATCGCTAAGATATCAAACCAGAAAGTGACCAACCCACTAGATTGTTCATCTTTCTTCTCGTTTTAGTCGAGATAACTCTACAACTACTTTATCACTAACATCAGTTTAAGTATAAATTGACTCTATGTGTTCCTGTGCAGTGCACGATGGCATCGCTTAATCGTAATAACTAGCAGTAATTAAAACAAAAATCATAATTATAGTGTAAACGATATTTTCATTATCCCTTGCAGTTAGTCTTTTTACAGAACTGTGGTGTTCCTTTAAATAGCTTAAGTACAAGGGAAACAGGAATTACTAAACAATAAGAGATGAAACTAATATGACTATAACTCAATGCTTTGTACACTATACAATCAGTATCTCTATGGAGCCAACCTGTATATTACGTATGAAGTGAAGAAGTAAAAAAAAATCAATACTCTTAAAATTAACTTTTTTGACACACATTCATAAAGCACATTAACTTTCAGTCAGGGGAAAACTTCACAAAACAAGTAATAAAACATTTTGTAAATGTAAAATGATGTAGGGATCGCAGTGACAAAAAGAATGCAAACAAGAATATAGGGATGATACAGCTGTACATAGATCATCCCTACATGACTTTCAATATCAAAATTTAATATTACACTGTAAAATAGATACTTGACTTTAATATTACTGCAGTTGGTTACACTACATTGATGCCTACCATAATATGACCAACTGCATACCAACAGTCAGGAATATATATAATTTTTTTAAGAGCCTAGAACTTACGTACAAGGAAAGCCAAGCTGGTTTAAAATATGTCTTGATTATTATAGACCATTACAACGATACGAGATCGGTCGAATTGACTGGCCTCGTAACCATTTTGTACTCTTGCATTTTACAGTGTAACATTAACTTTTAATACTGAAAGTCATGTAAAGATGATCTATCTATAGTTGTATCATCCCCATATTCTTGTTTGCATTATTTTTGCCACTGTCATCCCTACATCATTTTACATTTACAAAATATATTATTACTTGTATAATATAATTTCCTTAAGACTAGATGCTTAATTCACACTAACCTTCATTACATGTCGGATCCAAACTAACCCGGATCCTAGATGTCCGATTCTTTTTAACCCGGAACCCAGATATCCATTCATTCTAACCAAGACCCTATATGTTCTATTCATACTAACTTGGATGACATATGTACGATTTATACTAGTGCAGGTGTTAGATGTTCGACGCATACTAACCCGGTTACTAGATTTCTGGTCAATCCTAGTTCAAATACAATATCTTCCTTATAGTCCAGATACTAGTCTTATCACGAGTCAAACGGTACGCTAATGTGCTTAGTTTTAATTAGAATTTGTGTGTGTGTGTGTGTGTTTTTCTTTATCATTTCGTTTGAAGAAAGTATTAGGAGAGAAATGAAAGCTTAATGAAAAAAAGGAATATGATGTATACCTGTTATGGTTAATTTTACGATGGTAGCTGCTAGATATTTGATTTGGGCTAACACAAGTTTAAAGAAACTTTGGGGTTTCTTCTTACAAGAAAATATTTCTCCAGAGATGAAAATCAGTACAGTTGCATTCATACTAGCTCGCACACTATAAATGGTTTTTGAAATAATCTAAGTTCCATGTGTCTGCGTCATTCTGACTCGGATGTGATGTAACTAACTCAGTAGCTGGGAAAGTAAGTGACTCATCCTTACTGATTTGGATACAAGGTTTCCTACTCAAAGTAGCTTATATACTAAGCATTTGTTACATAGTTAACTAGACACTGTAGTGTATGGTTCATGCCAACCTGATTTCTGGGTGTCGGATTCACATTATAATAAACATTCTTTTTTGCTTCGTGGTACTTGTTTTGGGAAGCATATTATACATATACACTACTAAATTAAAAGTTTGTTAATTTACTACTGATTCGTAGTAGCATGAAGAAGCTACGTTTTTGGTACGTATTTTGGTAGTGTTATTATCTGATTCATCATAACTTGGATTATATGTTTCTGAACCATAACAACCTGGATATTGTATGTTGAACAGCTGCTTAAATATTAACATTTATTTGTAAAAAAGAATCCTAGTCTTTCACATGTGGATATATATTTTATTTCGGTATTTGCTTACATTCTCCAGGGACACTAGGCATCTGGGTCACAAATATTTAGAGAGTATCTAACGTATTCAAATCATGTTAAACTGTGTATTTTATTATATCTCATGTCAACGAAATGGGTACAAGTATGTGTACTAAACTGTAAGAAATACATATTTGTCCCCGGAAGTGGAAGGGTGTTTGCTGTCAGTAATCAATCATCATAACTTGCGTTTTGCACATTCTTATAATTTTCAACTCCTTGTACAGCTTATATAAATCGGTCCAAACATATAGATAATGCATGGTGTATAGTTGCCCAACTTAATACGATGAGTATATCGTATAATATAAATCATATTTCCATTATATAATATGAACCGTATACTACTAGACTTCTAACAAATTGAAATAAAATAAAACAGTGAGTAGATATAAATTTTCCATATGCTTAAATACTCCTCTTCCGATAAATCAAGTTAGTTAAATTATAGTCTAGAGGAGAAGATGTTTCTGTTTCTAAAAGTAATTAACGACGCTCAGAAGGGACACTTATTATTGAAAGATCTAATGTTACGTTGTAACGGTCTAAATTAACTTGTTGTTACAACTAGAATTAAAAAAAACAATAAACAAACACAGATTTCTTATACTTCGACAACCACGGAAATCTAAAGTTTGGCTTTCAAACTATTAAAATACAAAGTTGATAACTTACCAAGACACAGTAAAGAAATATGCGCCTGGCCAGGACTTGAAACTAACGTTAATGAACAATACAATATATAAATCCACGTTAATAAATATTTCAATAAATCAAAGAACCAAGAAAAAAAAAACTAGACAAATGAAAAAAACTAATTACAAAATAACAATATTCCGTATTTAAACTACAAAATCACTAACAACATCCAGTAATAATCAACAATAATACTATTCAGCTATATCTGGTAAACTAAGTTTATTCACTTGTTAGATCGCGAGGTTACAAATCATGTGATCATAAGTTATACAATCCTGTGCAAAATATATGTACATAATTTACATATTCTTTTGCAACATTAATGATATCTGAATGTTACCGCTAGGGGAAACCGATGTCAGTCTAATAATACATACATATTTACTCACAATAAACGTGATCATCAGAAGGTGAGTTAGCGTTTTCAATGTAACTCAAAATTCATAGATAAACTAAATAGAAGGAATAATAAATGAAGGATAAACAAAAACATAACCAAATAAAAATTGAATTCGCTATCTCACAATATGGCTATAAACCGTTTTATTTGCATTTCATCAACTGGTTAAGTTTAAAGTTCTTAAAACTTCGTATTTTCTAATATTTCTGATAAATCTCTACAGATTTTCTTAAACATAGTTTACAAAGGAAACATTTATTTCAATGCATAATACTTCTCTTTCCAGCTTTTTAAGAGGCATGAGCTATATAAAAGTTCCACAACAACTGATATCAGATGGGTTAAAACTCTGTAACCTTAGAATCTAAAATGTTTTGATATTGTGTGAGAATTTGAAATAAATACATAAAAACGTAGTTGTCGTTTGTACTGTAATAGGAAAACAAACGAAGACACACGATATGAAAATACAAAGGCCCACATACAAGGTGTATAAAATATCATACACATGTCTATATACATACCACAAGATTAGAGATAAAAATTAAAATTAAATAAAAATATCAAATTCAGAAGTAATAGTAGAGAAAAGAAAATAATAATTAATATTGAAGTTACTAATAGCCTTATTAACACATATTTCGAAATAAGGTTTTCTGACAAGCAAATAACCATAAATAATCAACCTCGTGTAGGTATGCAAAGTTTTTAATAAAATTAATATTACATAGTTTATCTTTGAACTTGTGCACAATCATTACCGTTGAAGAAAGTGTAAGGTGAAGAGTTGAGTAATGAAATAGAATTCTCATGAAGTTGTAAATGTTTTTTTTATTTCCTTAGATCGTGTCTTCTTTAATCCAGTCGACACCGAATTGAAAGTCGGTAGAAAATTAGCTAATTTTTTATTTATTAATCTACTTCATTTTTAGTCCTGTGTATTTTTTCCTTTTTCAACCTTTATTTATCTATTCAAAAGTTAAAAAGAGAAAATTTTAATTTGGTATGTTGTTTTAATAACCATTTCAAATCTTAGTTTATATCCCTTTCCGAGAAAAAAAAAAACGATTATCAAATATATATATATTACCAAGTATACTAAAGCACATAATTGTACATTTACTAAAGAGATGAAAGCGTAACATTGAAGTCTAGTGCTGAACACTACAGTCCATTATCAACAGTTGAAGACGAAAGGGGACCAGATATTATTCCAGGTAAATTTCCTTGCATTTTTAATAGCAACTGAAGAGTTTATACAAATAAAATATACATACTGACCAAATATGCAATTCTAATCTTAGTTGTTGTTTGAAATGTAAAAAAAATTAAATTGATGAGTGAACTGTAATGGACGGCAACTGCCTGTTCTAATAACACAAACGTAGAGGACGACGTTTCGAAAGTCTTTCCTCTTTTGGACTTGAAGACAAAATACTTTCGAAACGTCGACCTCTACACTTGTGTTTTTACAACAGGAAGTTGCCGTCCATTCCATTTTGCTCATCATGAATACTTTGCCTGAAAAATCTGTCAAAGAACAAAAAAATTGTTTAGGTTAAACAACCGTTGTTAAGTCTAACAAGAAATTCTCCGACTCTTACAAAAAAAATGTGTGAAATAAGAAATAACATGTAGTAATTGGAACAGAATTGAAAATTTAGAAAAATCTGAACGGAATTATCAAACGAAACATTACAAAGTTTGAGAAAAATTAAAAACAGCTTCTAAACTTATTGTAACAGGCATTGTCATACATTTTCACTGATAGCGATTCCTTTATTTTTATCTTATAGCTAATGGGAATCTTGTAGAGCTCCGGAATGTAAACGAAAATGAAACATTTGTTGGTGACACCGTCAGATGGACAAGCCCTTTAGTTGGTGTTCATTCACAATTTCATTCGCTTTGTGAAGTTAGTCTAGGTCCTGATATGGTAAGCTATTCATAAGAGAAACTATTTTTGATCGATGCTGAGACGACCTACATAAAAAAGAATATTTACATAATATTCAGATTTAAAATCTGCATAGGAAAATAGTTTTAAAGATCTATAAGCCACATATTTTCTTCTTTGTGTTTTGGAAGTTGAAGAGTATTCTTTGAATAAGAAACTTTAAATATTTATTTAAACATGATACAATCATAGATGCAACCGATGCGTGTATTTCCTCTATTTGTTTTTGTATTTCGTTTATATATGGTAAACCAACTAAGGCTATTTCCGGCCATCATTTTCAACTACTGTCTAGAAGGAAGGCCAGCCAGTAGCATTCTACCGCTCACTGTCTACGCTAAGGGATTGATTGTCACTAATATAACGCATCTACAGTTTAAAGTGCGAGTAATATTTTGTGGTATCACACGCATTCAAACCCGGTTCGTCAGATTCGAAATCCAGAGCTCTACCCCAGAAAAAAAAACAGGCTTTTTTATAATTACGTAATTTAATATAAATAGCTTTTTTTGTTATTAAACTGAATTGAAATATTTCAATTTCTCCATATTTGTTAAATGATTTGACATGGCCTGGTGGTTAGGGCGCTCGATTCGCAATCTGTGGGTTGCGGGTTAAAATTTCCGTCGTCGAACATGCTTTCCCTGTCAGCTGTAGGGCGTTATAATGTAACGGTCAATCTCAATATTTGTTGGTAAAAGAGTAGAACAAGAGTTAGCGGTGGGTGGTGTTGACTAGCTGCCTTCCCTCTAGCTTTTCACTTCTAAATTAGGGACAGCTACAACGAAAGGAGATGGGCGCCATCAGGTAAAATCTCACCAAGAAGCAAAGATGATATAAGCATCTAAGGTTCCTCAACAGTTGTAAGCGTCCTTAGGACTAAAAAGCAAATACTTGCTTAGAATAATAATAATATTATGTCATCCAATAACGAAATCTTAGTTTGTTTTAAATATTTGCTAATTTATCCGTTATAGGAGTTAAGATTTCAAAGATAATAGAGAGTTGCTTGAAATGTTTAGAACAGATATTTTAATAAAACATTTAATACATTATATATATATTAGCGTATAGCCCGTCAAAAAATGACGGGGCAAGTACAACCACCCCAACCCCTAGTATACCCTAACCTCACAATTCATTGCTAACTGAAATAGCCCCCCAGTGGCACAGTGGTATGTCTGCGGACTTACACTGTTAGAAACCGGGTTTCGATACCCTTGATAGCCAGAGCACAGATATCCCTTTGTTTAGCTTTGTGCTTAACTAACTGAAATAAATAAATTTTGCGAAATTAAGCTTGACCAACAAAGAGACAGAAAAGTGCAGTTGAGTCAGTCAAACATTGGTAAATTCCTTTGTCAACCAAGCAGAATTAAGACCATTCATGAAATGAATTCGTGGCGTATTAGTAAAATAATTATTGGTAAAAATCAGTTATGATTAACAACTTCTAATATATAGAAAAGCCAGTGTGTTTTGGTAACACTAAGTTCCAACAACGGCTTTTAAGTCATGTTGCTTAGCAAAAAAAGTATAACCTATTATTGTTGTTAGTCTATGTGCTGAAGGTATAAAATAAATGTATAGCCAACAAAACTGGAAACATATTAGATGATTTCTTAATTTAGAATCTCCGTTGATTAAAGAGGTTTGTTTTATATTAAAAATGTCGGCGATATAACAGAAAATAGCTTAATTCAGAGACGATAAAAGTTTAAAATTGAATTGATATTTTTACTTTCATGATAAATTTTATGCACCTGGCTCTAGGCTAGGTGATCCCACATTACGTCTTTGCTTTAGGCTTATTATACCAACACTCACTACATTTATAAAGTTTCACGGCCCCCTTGCATCCTCGTCACTAAATCGTAATGGGCAGACAGTAATCGAACAATTATAATTGGGTAAATGCATTTTGGCTTTTATGACTCCTCTTATTTCGAGAAATCAAACGTGACGTGACGTGACACGTGACACATACTAGCTTTCATATATATGTTATATATATATATATATATATGTAGTTTATTCTTCTTAAATAACGGTTTGGTTAGAATTGTTGCTCATTCAGCATCATCTGATCTGAAAGCATCTAGTATTATGTGATCACTTCAACGAACACCAACATTTTACATTTTGATCATACCGGTCGATATATATATTCTTTGCAGGAGCTCCCACTTTGCTCTCAACAGCAGAATACTTTTAGTCCACAAGTTCACCTTTCCTCATCACAAGAAGCGGCTCAAGATAATGGATTAAATGTAAAGGTTCTGCCTTCATCACCAGCTCTTCGAAGGATTAATCCTGGTAGACCTGAAGAGATTTTTTATTTTTGCTACTAATAATTATTATGTGAGTGAGAATCTCTTCCTCAACCTCAAGACTGGATGCTAGTTGATGGTATGTAATATTTGTAAGTTTTTATTTATTTTTGCTATTAATAGTTTTTATGTGAGACAGAATCTCCTCCTTAACCTCAAGACTGGATGCTAAATGATGTTATGTAACATGTATTTATCTACTTGTTAAAGACTTACTTGCTTATTTTTGGATTGGTGACAAGGTTATGCATTTTTAAATTCAGTTTTCAAAAATGAATTTTCAAACAACTTATTTATGTCATATATTTCGACAGTTGCTTAGAATGTCTTTCTTTAGAATGAAATATTTTTCGTTGAAGCCTAATATTTTCATGTACATCCAAAACACTGCGTAGTGGGTGCTTGTTTGTATGCTCAGAAACTTCACATATTAGATCTTTCTATGCATAACTATAAATCCCTAGATGTTTGATGGAGTCTCAATGGATCAAACACCATTACTTGCTATAACGTTTTTACAGAGTCACGTCCATTTACCTTTTTTCGTAAATCATACTTCGGTGTTTTTTCCTTCTAAGATGAGCTTTTAATTTTACTGTAGAATGTATTCAGATTTGATTCTTATTAATATCGTCATTAATATAATGTGCCTAATATGTACGAAAATAGAGTAATGAATGTAGCTGTATTTTCTTTTTTTTTGCTAATCATAGGACGTCACTGTTAAATTGTTTTTATATCACATAACACAGTTTTTGTTTGTCAATCGTTTTGGATTTACTTACACAATGATACTTGAATTATAACTTTATCTCTAAAAGAATTCAAGTTATATAAGAATTTCATCGTTTTTCCTCTTTCATGTTCTATTTTGTTCTGTTTTATTAACGCTTAAAAGCTAAACAGGAAACATAACGATGTGCTTACAATCAAATTGCCAATATGGTTGGTACGATTTTATTGATTAATATTATTAGCTACTCTCAGATATTCTTCGAATACAAAGAAAGAGGTTTGTTTGTAATTAAGTACAAAGCTACACAATGGGCTATCTATGCTCTGCCAACCGCGGGTATTGAAACCCTGATTCTAGAGTTGTAAGTCCACAGACATACCGCTGTGTCACTGGGGGGGCGTTTGTTTGTCAGGTGGGTACACAATTACACAATTGCACAACAATAGACATACCATAGAAATGTTGGAGGTGTTACGCAAGTTTTAAGTCTCAAAATATTGAAGAGATGATATTTATTTTGTCTACGATCAAACTTTTGATTTTCAGTAAAATTTTGCAATTAAGTGCTAAACAAAAACGGTTTTCTTTCATTCTAGAGAAGGAACTCTTCGCTACTTGGCTACGGCTATAACTCCCAATTACAAAAACCAAACCGAACTGAACAGGTGACGTCATTCTGCTTTTTGAACAGTAATCATGCTCTAGTTTGCTTGAAGATGGTACTTTCTAAGAGTCAAGAACCTCCCTAGAACAACTGAAACGCTTTTGGGACCAACCATGTGAAATATTGGAGGACATCTTTCAAATCTAGATGCTGTAATTGTATCATAATACCACCCATTTTACACAACATAATCTTTTAAGTATTACAGAAATAAAAAAATATCAACACTAAGTTCCTCGTCTAGAAATGGCTTTATGAAAGATCAGTTTTTTTTCTGGCATATTTATAAACTACAGAAGCACAACTATAAACAAAGGATTTGTTGAATTGCAGTTCATTTACGCTTTCAACTGTGACTCAACTTTTAGGTCACAACACCATGATAAACAGGTATGTTGTACATTAATTGCATTCATTCCTTTCTGTGAAGTTACTTGTCTTGCGTGTTGTTGTCATTCAAGATGTTGACTTTTATTTTAATCTGACTCTCTCAATCTGTGTACCTGCGATTACAATAGTTTTCACTTACAGATTTACATAGCTTTTCTGTTTTCTGGATAGGAAATAAAGTCTGGAATGTACCTTCTACACTTGTTCAATAACTTAAATGGTTTATATAAAAAACGTCAATCTCAGAGTAATGAAGGGTTTCGTGAAGAACATCATAGCTAAATTTCAGTTACTTTAAACTCTTTATGCTGAGCTAATTCATAATTACTTTGATGGTTATCTTTCTCGTTTGTGAAAATATTTGCATTTAACATTTAACATAAATGAAATACTTCCTGTTCGAAAACTAAGACATTTGAAAATTTTCAGTAAAATAATCATTTATCATTTTTTTGAAACACTGCTAAATATATTGTTCTATATTACTTTACAAAAATGTTCATATTTTGTAAAAGATTAAAGCTCCCCCCACCTCCCCCAGTGGCACAGCGGCATGTCTGCGGATTGACAACGCTGGTGGGTGAAGCACAAATAGCCTGTGTGTAGCTTTGTGCTTAATTACAAACAAACAATCAAAAATTAAACTAATTTTGTTGCATTGCATAAATTATGTAAATACTATTATTCTGGTTTATGATATTTAATTTAAGAATTACACACACTAGATATTCCTTCGCCTCAGATTTTTTAGAAAACACTAAATGTGTTTATAATCAATACTAGTCTTAAAAAACACCATACAGAAGTAATAAAACCTAATCTTTAGTTTCAAAATATCAGAAATGTGTTTTATTTTTATAAATGAATAATTACATTTACAGAAATTTGTTTATTTAGATATTTATATTAGCTTTTGAGGTTAGTTCAGTATGTTTTAATTTTTTAAATGCTTTAGAAATCGTACGGAAAAGGGAAACGTATAATTTAGTATTTATTGTAAAAGAATATAGATCATGTTGTATTTCACAAATATAGCCAAAATGAATTAACATAAATATAACTTTATCTTTAATGAAACCTATATAAACTTAATGTTAATTAGCTTCATAAACATAACGATAAAAGACAATAAAATCTTCTATAGGACACCAATTACGTTTATTTAATTATAAATAAAGTATTTTTAATGAAAAAAAATGTTTGAAAAAAAATCGAAGTTTATTGATTTTACTTCAAATTGGTTGTAAATTTCTGCTACTGTTTTCGAATAGCACCAGTAATATAATTTTCTTTAAAAGACTACCGAAAATCGATAGGTTACGAATATCTATACCTATTTCACTTAAAAAAAAAGTATAATAATTTAAACACAAAATTGACATTTTGATAAGTCTGATTCATATTCTTTATCGTTATTTATATGCTGTCGACATTCGATTTGTTCGTATTTTTTATGTCATGCTTTTCATATTTTATTGAGCTCTGTTCGTTGACTATTAACCAACAATTCTTTATGATATTATCCATGGTTAATGGATTGATAACTTTCTAAATCATTTAGAATCTGATATCGATAAATCAAGTCAGAGTGAGACCCGTCGTGAATCTTACTGTCATACAGGAAATAATATTTAATCTATGTGTGTGTGTGGTAATCCGTTACAGAGAATAAACACTCAAGAACTTGATAACCTTAGCTATGATAAAACTAAAAGTGAAAACGATGTTTTTATCTTTTAAGGAAGATTTGGTGTGAATGAAAACACTAACATGTCAAGATATTACTGTTTATTGTTCCAGTTTATTTATTGATTGTTAATATATATTTTGTGGTATTAAAAGTGAACTTGAAAGATCAAATCCTAAATTAACATTATTAATATCAATTATCCATGTTTATGATGTATCAGTTCAGTTTTAATACAAATAAAGTAATGAAGTTAACGAAATAAAATATTTTTGAACTTCAAACTTATTTATACACCAATAAAAAGCAGTATGGTATACCAAATGTATTGTTCCGTAAAAGTGAGTAACATTTCGTATGAAATCTTAGAAAACTAAGAAATTTTGAATTTAAAATACTGATTCTACTCTAATGTGTTAAACTCTCTTGTAGGTTTTGAAACTGGCTGTGTTAAGAAACATTTAACATCAAATATATTCAAGCATACTTATGCTATAATTCTGAAGACATTAAAGTTGTATGTTAAGAATAACAATAAGAAAATTGATCTAAGCCTAATGATCTGACCTCTTTAAGCAAACATTACAGAAACTACCTAAACTTAATTAAAAATTGCATGACTTCGGTATAAAAATAGTCAATATATTACTATTTACAAAGTTGGGTAACTTGTTATTCTATCGAGTGATTTCCCAATAAACAATGATTAATCCTTAGGTTTTTCGAACATATTAAAAAGGAATGTACATTTGAAGGATAGAATAATGTTTTTTCCTTACAAATTGTTTTCCCATTGGTATGAAGGTGTAACCATCGAGCGTTTTATTCAATTACTTAGTCCACAAAATGTTAATTCATCCCTTAAACTCCACAGTTTCGTGTAGTTATCGCTTACTTGCTACGATGACTAGAAACATTAAATTTATTTTTCTGCACTAATACAGTTTAATTGTTAATGGCTGAAACATTTTAATAGTTTCAGTTTCCATCTTTATATCATCATTCATGCTATGAATAACGTTTATATGGAATCCTAAAGTTTCTTTAGCCTGGGAGTTTCTTCTATAAACCAATTCAAAATGTCACTTTAACTATAGTTTATATTTTATGTCATGCCATTTAATATATTCATCAAGTATTTTAAAATAATTATGAATAAAAAAACCCTATAACCCGAGCGCTTTCGAAAATGCATAGCTAATATACATAAAGGTGTCCCAGATAATGAGTAGTTTTAAATGGGCAAGTTATTATTTGTACATTACTATAGAAAATTTAAAAATGAGAATAATACAATGAATTAGTCTTTTTTTATTTGTTTTAGATAGAGCAGTGCCACTAGTGTTTAATCTGTGATACGTTTACCAATTTATGATTTTGAAACGATGTTCCAAATGTTCTTTATTACTCCTCGCAATTCGATCAAGTTGTTTGAATGACGTTGGACCTTTTGAGTTACCATATAAATCCATATAGCCTCAATAACTATTGGACATCATGCAGTTCAAGCCATGGCTGTGTTATCGTTTTTGTCTTGTTTTTTT